CCATTTGAGCTCTTCTGCTCTTCTGAAGAACTTTGTAGAGAAGCGATGACCTTAGAGAGGAGTGCTAAGAAGCTTAGGTGCAATATACATCGTGCTCGGTCATGAACGTTCGCCGTGACCGAATGATGGCCGCCTATCAGATATCGATACTTTATCGCTCGATTGAACATCTCGAGTTAGTGTTGTCATTAGAAGCCTCTCATCAGCTACAGTGTTCTTTATTTTTTTTTTTAAACTAAGGTGAGTTCACCTCCTTGTATATTTTTTATTAATTTTAGGTATTCTTTCGAATAATCAGTAATTTTGTTCGATTTTTTTTTTAATCACTAATATACAAAAATTTCAAAATTTATAGTCATATATGCGTTTATTTATGTTATGTTATTTAATATCGATGTAGTATCGAAAAAGAGCTATCCTTCTCCCGAATGCAATCGACGTATAACCGAGTTTTCTTTCTTTTTTTTTGTTCTAATTTGCTTTAGATAGATAGATAGATAGATAGAAAGTAAACTTTATTCTGGGACAAGGTCCCTTATGAATAACAGATATGAACAAAAAAATTAAAACTACATCTGGCTAAAAATTACATTAATCAATATTGAAGAATATATACAGTATCTTCAGTGAAGTTAAATTAAAACAAGTAAAAATAAAATAAAATTTTGAGAAAAAACTAAATAAAAAAAACATTATTTAAATGAAAATAAAAATTAAATAAAATAAGCATGGGTCGATTTTTAAAATTAAGACTCAATAAATTTTATCAATCATTCACCTCAGTCAAAATCTGTTTCACAATATTTATTTTATTGTATAACGTCATTTTGGGATGTGAGAAGGAATTGGTAAAGATGATATTTAAATGAGGATAAGGAAGAGGCATGACGGATTTCAGATGACAAGGAATTCCAGAAGGCTGTGGATCGGGAAATCGCTTTAAGACTTGTATCGGACTAAGAAAGTCCTATTCTGCCAATAAAATATTTTAATTGTCATTGTAAGATGAAATTACACTGGATATTTATTGAATATTTCTAGATCAATGATCACTGAATGTAACTTATATAAAATTTAAACTAGAAAGTTAATAGTTAAAAACTGATGTGACAGTGGTTTCATAACAATTAAATGAGAATACGAGGCGACCTTTATTATAGAACTGCTTTTATGTCATTCAAAAACTTTATCAAGTCACCGGCGTTATCTTTATTCATCGACCGAAGAAAGTTAGCTCCATCATCCGCAGTTTGCGATCCTAAACTAATTCTTCTTCGCTTCTCGAATCTTTGGCACTTGAAGGCAATGTGTCTTGGATCCTCCAAGCATTGGCATGTTGAGCAGTGACCACTCTTAGCTATACCCATTAGATGTAGACATTTATTAGTCCCACCATGATTTATCCTAAGCCTGGTCAGCTTTTTTTTTTTTTGTTCTTCCCTACCTCGCCTTTTAGGCTATACGGGATTTTCCCGGGCCGGGGGGTGAGGGCGGGGAATTTAAAATCTCCCCTCCGGCACCGGGACGCGAACTCGTACTTTTTATATCATCTCAAATCTCTGTTATCCGGTTGCCAGGCAACTAGCGGTGTTGTGCACACGCTTTAGCCTATTCGGCCACCCCGCCCCCCTAAAAGAGTAGACAAAGAAACGTCCTAACAGCAGTGCCTTGAACTTACAAACTAATCTTAATTCTAATGACATCCATTATTAACCAATAACACCAATAACTGTTGGACGCCTCGTCCTACCCCCATGGAACCAGTGCTATCTTCTGTTGAACTGCATGATGGTCCTAACCCTTCGAGGCACATTCCCATGTCGTAGAAATGCTGCCAGTCTTTCATTATTTCCCCCCTCAATATTCTTATCAAATCCAGTAAAGGAACCTTCGCATTTATTCGATGTAGTTAGTTTTGATTTGCCGTTTTGTCTGCCATTTCATTTCCTGATATTCCTACTGGCACCCACTGGAAAAAGTAATTGTTCCTGGCGTTGTATATTAGTGATATGATTTTAAAGGAAATGTGTGTCAGTGCTTTATTTTGATAGATTAATTTTAGGTGTTTACATGCAGTTGCTGAGTCTGTCAGAATAACTATTTTTTGGTTGATGTATGTGTTTTCGCTGTATATTATGGCGTTAATCATGGAATCAAAATACTGGAAATACTGGAATCAACTGGTATTGATAATGAAAATTTCTGATTCTTTTGGGGATCATACACAGCTATAGACTTTCGGTTACTTGTTTTTGATGCGTCTGTATAAACTTGTAGATAATTGGGATAACGTTCAGTGATTGTGTTCAGTGCTAGTAATTTCAAATAAATTGATGGGTATGAACTTTTCTTTTCAACTTTACCACCTAGATTAGAGGAGCTATAATTTTAATTAAAGATTTGGGAATGTGTATTCCAGAGGAACTTCAAAAATGTGTAGTGAATAACCGAAATTATCAAAACATATTTATTTCTATAAACAATATAATATTATCGATAGTATATTTAACGCAATCAATTTATAAATCATCATGCTTTACCACGAATGTTAAAGTAACAATCAACTTAATAAGTGATTAGCTTGTGCCACTGACAAATAACTCTTCAGTTTAATAGTTAATCAATAAGGCACAGCTATCCCTCAACTTATACTAATCGATTATTGTACTCGCTCAATAACTATTTGTTTCGTGTATTAGAGTCTTATTTTGTCGTTCTCTTGCTTTATTTATTAAAAATATCAAAAAGTTTCCAATTTTATCTCAAAAGTGTTTGTGGGATCGTAAAGCTGTACTCCAAAGTTCTTAAAGCGGCTTAACCTGACCTCTCCCCCCTCCCCTCCTCCATTCGTTTCAAGTTGGTAACAGGTAATTGGTAATTATAATAATTCTATAATCGATATATTAATTGAATTACCCACCTGGTGTCGCGATAAGAAAAAAACCAAGAAGCTTATATCAACATACATTTACGAGTGTATTAAAATTGTCTGGGCATTTATATGCTCAAATGTTAGAACGAAATTTAAAATATTTATTCATTTTAAAAATATTAAAGTTTTCCCAATCCTTTTTAGTTTGAGCTTTTCACTTACCTGTCAGGAATATTGACTCTTAACAATGATTTTTTTTTTTTTAAGTGAAAACTTCTTTAGGAAAAAAGAAAAAAAAAAAGGAAAATTTAGAAAAAAAGATTTCCGATGTGTAACGCTAAGTAAAGTCGGCTCGAGTCGACTAATTAAAGTGTTTTTGCATATGGATTAAAATATCTCAAAGACTAAATATCGGACCTGCTTATAGTTATCGAGGGAAATGTTAATCATTTCATCCTCTTTGTAATGAGCTATTATTCAAAATAATTGTATTTTAACACGACTCCGTGTTAGAGAGACGAAAACTAAATTATAACGAGTTTTATTGAAGGTATGGATTAAAATATCTCAGAAACTAAAAAAAATGACCTGCATACCATAAGTATTTGTAAAAAAAAAAAAATTGGGTTACAAAAATATTGGATCGTTTGGCCAATACAGCGTGTGGGTTAAGTGGCCAAACTGAAGATATGAATTAAGGACTTCAAAACAAGAAAACAAATTTCTATAAAGATATGTCCGCAAACGCTTTGCTTAGGAGATATTCACACCCAAAGAATTTTATTGTTATGAATTATGTATGTTATATTAAGAAAATAAAACTTATTTTATTTGTTTCAACTACTTTATTAATTAAACGTGAACATTAAATTCATATTAAATGTTGTTCAAAGTGATTTCCTTGAGCATAAAGACAGGAAGACTTTACGACTTTCTTTAACAGCAACAGTGGCAGAACGGCACTGGATATGTGTAATTGTTTCACAAAATCATCATAGTTATCATTATTAAGAAATTCCAGAAATGTGCCCGCATTAAAAATTGTCTATAGAACAAATAAATAAGCTTTATTTATTTCGTATAACGTAAATAATTCATAATAACGAAAATGTTTAGGTGTGAATATCACCTAAATAAAGAGTTTGGACTGACATACCTTGGAGGACATACGTTCAGAGGATTTTTTTTAATTTTTTTTGAGGCCCTTAGTTCATTTTTGCAGCTTGGGGTGAAGTTACGTCAAACAGCCCAATATTTTTAGACTTTCAATTGTGTGATAAAATTACATTACGATTCAAGTGGAAAACAAATGAGTGTTCATGAGTTTTTAGTACCTCTTTAAATCGGCTATCTTTACACATATCCAGATAAAAAACACCCCACAGAATTTTCGTAAAAAAAAAAAAAGAAATAAAAAAGAAATTGTAGATTATGATAAGATGAAGACATTCACGGAGTTTTAGACGAATGTTAATAATTTGATAAAAATAGTTCTGTAACGCGGAATATGATGGTGAGCATATTCAGGAGTGCACGGAAGGGAGGTTTTCATGGCGCAAGTTGCGCCATCAAAATATTTGAGGGGGCCATATTTTGACGGGTTTTTGAATTTTTGAGTGGCCAAATTTCGACGGGGTTACGAATTTTCAGACTAAGGGACTGTAATTGTATATGATCTGGATTTTTTCTAATTCTACCTTAGCTTCTTCTGTTTTTTAGAAAAGGTAAGCAATAAAATATCTTGGAAGAAGAGAGACAGATGGATTCTTGAGCGATTGACGTTGGGGGAGGGGACACCTCTGAGTATATTAAAAATTGCGATACCAAAAAAAAAATTAATTAATGTTACAATTTTTTTTTATTACTATTAATAGTTTATTAGTAAGCTAAGAGGTTGCATTATGTATTGCAATAGAACTGTTTTATAACAGTCATATTCGTTGTTATTTTCATTTTTTTTTTTTTTTTTTTGAGCTGTTTGTTTATATTCTTAGCGTTGAAGTGGTATTACATTATATTAATTTAATTATTTAGATTGATCTTAAGAATATTTTTATCTTATCGAATCCTTATAACCCTTTATTTGGCTACAACTGAGGCATTTATTTAATTTTGATTTTCCTTTCAGGAGGACACGATCGCTGAATGCTCCAAGCCCGGTTCCTCAGTTTGGCCCCTGTGGCCGGATAATGAAAAATTCAGCCATGGTCATGTGAGTATTATTAAATATTATATTATTATTATTATATTTATGTTGCTTATTCTCATTATATGTTCTTCATTTTTGTTTGGAACCAACATCTTTACAAATTTCAATAAGCTGTATCTTTGCGAAAAATTGTCCGATTTCAGTGATTATTTTTTCCTTTTGTAGACAATTTAGTAATGTTTTATATAATCATGGGAATAACCGAGGGGAAAGTGTGTAATTTTTTAGTTATTCGCAAATAAAGTTTCTTTTCTTTCATAACTTGTTTGCCTGAATTTTCGGGGTGATTGGACTATTTTGCCCGCCTGAAGGAGAAGGAAGCCTTCGAAATTGGTGGCTCAATCTTGGGATTTGGTGAAGAATTAACGATGATATGGCTTGCCGATCAAAAACACCATCGATAAATAATATAAACTCCTCCTTTCTCGATCATAGAGATCTCAAGTCGACGAAATAAGACATGTATCCAATGACAGTACTACAATTAACGTCAGGTTGTGTGGATGCGAACCCCATGCCTTGCGTTATCTCGAAAATAGTACGTTTTTGGACTTAAAAACGTAGGATCCAATAGTTCCGGGGGAACTATCCGGGTCTTGCTGTATGCATCAAAATCTTCAAGGTCCAATTTGTCCCGCATCGATCTACAGACCTACCACTGTTCAGGTATTGAAGCCTAGCAAAATGTTTGTATCGACTTTATTTATTTTAGATAGAAAAACAAAAGTGGAGAATACGATTGGCTAACCCCCCGTGAAATTCTGAACCCAACGGTACCCCATTCATGGTATTTGAGCATGACAGGAGCATGTACGGATTTTTAGTTATTTGGCAATAATAACTTCCAATTGGTAACAATTGAATATATTTCTATTATCAACGTTACATGTTAACAAGTTAGTTGACGTTTCGGGATATTTACTCCCATCTTCGGAACTGCAATCCCAATAATCTTGTGGATGCAAGTCTTAAAATTAATAATAATGTGCTCCATCGTCAAATTTCTAATTCATGTTATAAAATGTATCATCTAGAGCAACATCCTCCTTTTGACCAATTACCAATACCAAACCAACGAATTATTGGTCAAAAGCAGGATGTTGCTCTAGATGATACATTTTATAACATGAATTAGAAATTTGACGATGGAGTACATTATTATTAATTTTAAGCCTTGCATCCACAAGATTATTGGGATTGCAGTTCCGAAGATGGGAGTAAGTATCCCGAAACGTCAACTAACTTGTTAACATGTAACGGTGATAATAGAAATATACTCGATTGTTACCAGTTGGAAGTTATTATTGCCAAATAACTAAAAATAAATAAACAACTTCCCAGAAAAAAGAAGATTAATTTTTTTTTTTCTTTAAATCTATCAATGTTAGTTTATAATTAGAAAATTTTCAGTCACACCTTATGTCTCCATAGGTTACTTTAGTGGAAGCAATTTTGAAAATTAGACATTTAAACTCTGTTAGAGAATATCAACGAGAAAAAGCCCTACATTATATTAAAAATCGCTTAATTTTACACTGATATAATGAATTAACACAAAATTGTTGGAGCCATTTTTACGAAATTTGTAAAAATGTATAAAATCAATGATATAAAGTGGCGCTTCTGGATAGCCGATTTTGACGAAAAAGTTGCTACGACTTTTCTTTTTCCGTCGTTGACAGGTGTATAGTTAAATTAAATTAAATTGTACTTTTGGTTTATTATTTTCAATAATCAACCTTTGTGATCGACCAAAAAATTCAAAAACTTAACCCCCTCTCAAAATTCGAGTTTTCACGTTTCAGGGCGCGTAGAATTCGAAGAACAAATACAAATTTGTTTGTCCGTCCGCCGTCCGCGTATTATCTCCGAAACTACTGGACCGATTTTTTTTTTCAAATTTTGATATAAAATCAGAGGTCACCCGAGGATGATCCTCCTTCATCGGCATTATTCTCCGCCTTTTACTTTCAAAATGGCGACCGAAAAACCTGCGTTACTATAGACTGTAGCTCCTAAACGAATGTACAGATTTCAATGAAACTTCGCTAAAGTCATTTTCCCGACGCCCTTTAAATTTATCTACATAACATACTTCAACGAAAAGAAGTTAAGTAAGTAAAACGTTTTTACTTTTTGGTTGATATTGTATACAATTTTTTAAAAGTTTACGTAATTTCAATTGACAAATAGTTAAAATCGGACAATTTGGAGCAAAGATATGGTCTCCGGTTTTTTTTTTTTTTATATATATATATATGTTCTACTCCAAATGTTATATCCTTGGTTTGGTTTTTAAATTTTGAATGTGTTACTGAACTAATGCTATTTTTTTTTAGCATATTACTAATGATTAAAGAAAAAAAGTTTAGTCCAATAATTGAAATCACTTTTTGTTTTGTTTTTCTTTGTAACTCGAAAGGTTATGTATAATTGTTTGAAAATAATAAACCATTGTGAAATAATTTGCAGCGTTTTTTTTTTTATATATATCCGTAGAAAATATTTTAAATCAAATTAAAAACAGTCCACAAAATTTGGTTGAATAAAAATCGGCTGGTACACATTCTTCATTGCAATAGTTCAATATCAAAATACAAAGCCAGGTCAAATTCCAAATAAACTGTAGAGAAAAAATAAAAGCAAAACACAATTATGTTGCTACCAAATCCTTATCGAAATAATTCAATATTCGAAGCCGGATCGAATTCCAAGTTTGTGATAATCACCCAACCAAATACGGTTTCAATAAATTATATTAAAACAGTAAATCAATAATCAAAGCCTATTCAAATTGGAAAGTTCCCATTGAATTATGATAAATTTTTCCATCAGTTGGAAGTTTAATAGTACAACATTTAAATGTGTCTGGCGGTAGAGTAGGTTGGGATGAGAATCGAAGTCACTGCCTAACCGGGATCTCTAGACAAATTACTCAAGAATTCATAACTTTGGTTCTATTCAATATTTTGTTTTCATTTAAAGCCTATGTTTTAATTTAAGCAAACCTAAATATTATGTAAAAGTTGCAAAAATCTAACATTAGCCATTGCTGAGCTTACCCCTAACAAAATTTCCTTGCTCAATGCGGACAGACAGACAAAAAAAAAAAAAAAAAGTGTAATGTACGAAACGGGTTGATTCTATTCATTGTACAGACAAAACCTTTATTTTATTTATATAGATATAGATAAGTGAAAATCGCCAACCCTTCGTCAATCCAGAATACAACGTTAGAAGTTAACGTGTATTTTTTTATTATTTCGTTATTATTTTTTATATACCTCTGAGGCTATAATATCCGCAATTACAGAATGGGGGGGCTTTCGGGCTGAAGTCTCCCCCAAAACGGTAAAATATAACCATGTTTTATAGAAAAAAATATTAAAAACTATCTCTTCAACTATTATTGTTCGTGTAATTACATTTAATAGCACTTCAAGAATCACTAAGACACAATGTCATGTGGGTAGTTAGTTTCTTTCTTTTTTTTCAAATTAATTATTGTTATATATATGAAAAAAAATCCTTCGGGTTGAAGCCCCCTACCAAAATTAAATCCTGGATCTGCTAGTGGTCCTATCTCCACGAAATTTCTGGGATATAAGTTATGAAAAAGAGGAAACTCTATTTGCGAATAACTCAAAATGTATTTTTCTCTATTGTACCCATGATAATTAGAAAGATTACTAAATTACCTACAAAACAAACAAAAAATTGTAAAAATCGGACAATTATTAACAAAGGTACAGTCCATTAGTTTTGGTATACTTAATAATATCTTCCTGTTTAAAGATATTATTGCATTTAGGAGTAGAATAGTCTACTACACTTTTTTTCCTGGCTGATATATTAACTTTATTATTTCTTAAAGACATTTGGTTGTTCTTACATTTTATTTTTTTTAATAATTTAGAAAATCCCATGATCGGGACATTATTTTGCCTTTATTACTTTTATTATCTTTCCAGTCAGCGTTTAAAAATAGGTCTTAGCAAAACAATTTGTACAAATATTTTTGTCTATTATGTTTAATGGAATATTGTAATTGACCAAGCAAAAAAATTTAATTCCTTCCTTACATAATAAATAGGAACTTCTTATTTCCATATTATTTTGCTATTTCTTCACTAAACTAAATTTTCTGCAAATGTGCAATATACATGTAAGAATGTACAATGCTATGATAAGGCCAGTTCTCATGTACTGCTGCAAGACATGGGTGCTATATATCCCATACCACATGGTAGGAAGGTAAGGAGATTAAAATAGGCGTATCATGCTCGGTGCAATTCATTTGGAAGTCTCTACATAGCAATGAATGAATGTCCCAATAAAAGACAAAATATATATTTATGATTTAAAATTCCTCTGGCAATGCTCGTTGTCTTTAGTAGCAAATCTTTTTGCTCTTTTCCCAGGATGTAATCAGAAATCCTTCCAATTCTTTAGGATACTCTTGTATGTTTGTAGCAATTAAAACGTTAATTAACATTTCTATAATAAAATTGGTGAAACATTGACAAGTTAAATGTTAAAGTCTCATGGCTTTAAGTTTAGATCTCTTTAATTAATTGATTATAGATATTTATTTATTTATGGACATCTATTTATTTTTAATAGTAAATAAAAAATTGATAATATATATATTTCTTTTGTTTTTTGCAGAACAATACAGGACCCTGCAAGTCAGAGGCTTACGTGGTATAAGCCTCCATTAACTGTATTAGTAATTAAGAAGTTACGAGATGTGTCTGTGCTTCAGCCATTCGTACAGCTCGTCCAATGGCTTATACAGGTAACCATCCAATTTATCACTTTATTTAGTTTTATTTATTTTATAAAATATAATTTATAATTGAGTTTGATGATGAAACCAGCATAATGATGGTTAGCAATGAAGTCAGAAGCAAAACGCACAATAATGAATTTTTACTATTTTATATATGTATAAAAATAAAAAATGAGCTTATTGTAGTCGATAAGCAAAAATCATTTTATGGAAAAACAATTATTAAAGAACAATAAATATGAAAAGTTGGTTATTTTACAATAATAAATGGATACTTGCATGGATAAAGTAAGATTGAATTTGCATGTTGTCAATAATAAAAAAAGAGTTCATATTTAGCAAAACCTTGAAATGAGAGTGCTTCTCGGGGGTGTGGTGAGAGAAGTTGGTTGGGGATTGCAATTATTTAAAGTACACAAAAATAAATTATATTTATCTGCTTTGAAATGAAATGAAAAATAATTGTATTCTGGGACCAAAGTCCCATTAGAATAACAGCAGAGTTAAAAAAATATATACATCTGTCTGGAATGTGGATATAATACAAATATATACAAAGAATCCTAAGAAAAATACAATTATATACAAAAAATACTGAGAGAACAATAAAAGTAAAATGGCTCTTATCAATTAACTTTTAGTGAGTAATTGTAATTACATAACATAAAAATTCTTACAAGCTTGCGGAAGTTTGAATGTGTAGTAGGTGGATGAATAGGAGTTGTTTAAAGGAATTTGTGGATGTGGTTTGACGTATGGAGATAGGTAAGGAGTTCCAAAAGAGTTAGCACAAATGATTTGTGATGAAGAATTTTCTGTAGGAAGTGGTTTTATGGGAGGGGATATATAAATCTATAGGTTGAGATCTGGTAGTAAAATAGTGGATAGAGGAATGTAGAGTAAGGGATTCTAGGATATAGGGAGGATATTTGGTGCTAAGGATTTAGAAAAGGAAAATACCTAGAAGTAATTGCCACAGAGAAGTAGGATAGAGCCACTTCAACTTGGTGTACCAACAGGCAAAATGAAAACTCTTGAAAATCCCAAAAATGAATCTTTTCGAAGCAAAACACGAGTCTCTTCATTCTCTCCTCCAATTTTGTGGACAGCCCTCCATACACCGAGCAACCGCAGTCGAAATAGGGAAAAAACAAGAGATGTTACAAGGAGCTGTCAGGTTTTTTTGTGCTTTGTGCCAACTTTTTGGCCTAAGTTTCAGGCTTTCATCAGGGCTGCTGGTTCAGAGGGGTTTCAACGAGTGTACCACCAATGGGAGTGCACCACTGTCATGCCCTATTGTTGTTACTCGTCCAAATCGCTTTGAAGGAATAGCCCTGATAAAGGTCTGAAACTTTGGCAATAAATATAATTTATTTTTTGTGTTCTTCCAATGAGTGCAGCTCCCAACCAACTTGTCTTCAACAATATCTTGCAACTATTAACAATTATCCACCATTATAAAACATTTAGATGTAATTATTTAACTATAATATTATTCATCAGGTGATTAAATTGTCCATTTCAGGAGAAGAGGATGGTGGTTTTTGTCGAGCAGTCTGTGATGGAAGATACGCTTCTCATGAACAACAGTGAGTTTGGGCTCATCAAGGAAAAACTCATGACATTCCGAGATGGTAAAGATGATTTAACAGATAAGATTGATTTTATCATCTGTCTCGGTGGAGATGGCACACTTTTGTATGCGAGTCTCTTGTTTCAGGTAACTGTTATTTTTTAACTATCAATATTTATGAAATGTTGTCTTTGAGTCTTTAAGACTAATCACTTAAAAAAAAAAAAACCGTTTCGACAAAAAGAATCTTCAGTTTGATTTTATGAACACAGTGGATTTTTAACTATTAAAAGAATATCATATGTTGAAACTTTTTTTTTTTTGCCTTAAGACTTATCAGCGAAAGTTCTATATTCGCTGTTTAATCTATTTGATAGATTTATGAAACAAATAGAACTTAGTAGTTTAAAATTAAGAAACACAGTACTTTTATAAAACTTTAATGAAAGTAAGAGTCTTATGTAGGTACTTTTACTTAATTTAATAATTGTCCTAATTTACAGGAATTATCTTTATTTATTAATCGTAGAAAATTAACTTCATAATCTATGGCTTGAGACGCTAAACCTTCTTTGTTTTTCGAAGCTTTTATACTGAAAACTAATGTGTTTTGGATCTCCGAGATATTGGTATGTTTGGGAATAATCGCTCTTAGCTTCAGGGGTACCCATCTCCTCCCTCCCCTTCAAGGTTGATGGCACAGAAACTCCCCTCTTTCAAGAAATTTTATTTTCTTCTTCTAAAAACCAGTGCAAGCAAAAATAGAATTAGAAAAATTGTAGATCCTATATAATTACACTTGCTGTAGTCTGATCCGTTTTACCCATTGTTCTCTGGTTTGAAACTTTTCACTTTGAAAATTCATTGCCCGTCGAAATGAAACCTTGCTTAGCTAGACCCATTACGTGTAGACATTTATTTTTTCTCTCATGATTTATTCTAAGCCTGATCAGCTTTACTAATCTAGGGCGGTTAAGGGGAAATTTAACTGTCACAAACTATGGAGTTGGAGCTCTCGTCTGGTAAACTGCTTAATGGTCCTTACCTTTTCTTTTGAGTCGCAATGTAAAAAAGTTCCATTTCAATAGTTTTGATAGGATCTTTATATTAAAAAAATGTTTAAAATTAAAGTCACAAAGAACTTTTTTTTTAAATGAAGATTTGAGTTTAACTTTTATTTTCTTTAAATAAAAGTAAATTAAATGATAAATACGCAGTAATTAGGCTTTAATTATAGATATAATTATTTTTAATGAATTGCGTGGTTCTCGTTAAGAATCTATTATACAATTCTGTGCCCCAGAGATAAACAACACCATGTCCATTTATGTATTTCAGAGAACCAATATTCCATAACTTTGAAATATTAAAATTTGTCTTTTAGTTTCTAAATCTGTACCCTGGATATATTGGACGCCATGACACATTTTTATATTTATTCAGGAAGCCAATTTTCCATGACTTTGAGCTATTAAAATTTGTTTAGTTACAAAATTATTTAACACAAAAATGGACATCGTGTTCTTTACCTCTGGGGCTCAGAATTTAATTTTTGTCAAAAATAATTGCTTCAACAGTACTTTTAAGTAAAAGATTTCTAAAAATAAAAGTTCTTTAAAGCTTTTAATTGAAAATTTCCATGGGAAAATTTTTTGGTTCTGAAATAATATAACATTCAAAAATAAAGTTCCAGTCTTATCGAAACTGATTAAATGTAAAAGTAAAATTTAGCCTAAAAATGTATAGTTCTTCCTCTTAGTGTTATTATTATATACAGGTTTTCTTCTCGATTCATCTATATAAAGAAAAAAAGATGTTGAAAAATGCGCGAGGCCTCTTGTCCCATAACTTAAAAAATATAATCTATAAAACCATTATCTTACCTACAGTTCTTTAGGGATACGAACGTGTCCGCTTACATTAAGGGATGAACAACGTCCTAAGGTTTTTGAAAATTATTGTGTAGAATATTAGGACCGAAGAAGGATGAGTTAACCAGAGAGTTTAGACGGTTACACAACGCTAAATTGCGTGAACTTCGTCCAGTAATATAATTGAGGTGATTACATCGCGGCGAATCAAATGGGCTTGTAAAATTGTTAGGCTTAGTAACGAAAGAATTCCTAAAAGTTTAATATTTACCATACTGAATGGTAAGCGTCCGAGGGGTAGACCGAAGCGAAGGTGGGAAGATTGAGTTAAAGCCGATCTGAAGGGACTGGGTTTGGATGGCAAACGGTGGAGGGAGGTGTGTAATAGGCGATTGATTCAGGTTTGCTGAGCCCGTTATTCTATTTTTACGATTATTAGCACTTGTTTAATTACCTACAGTTTTCGATATTGATTAACATTAATTGTTATTGTGATAAAATTGGAATATATATAGAAGTATAAATATATATAAGAAGTATAAATATATTTTAAAGTGAATGTTTTATAGACATTTTTACAAAACTAATCAGACTGTGAAAACGTTTTATTTTTTATATAGAGGTTGTGCAAACTCAGAAATCAAAAGTATTTTTCAGTTTTTAACATTATTTATTTTTAGCTGAATAAGTTCTGTAAGTGTACGTATGTTATGGAGACTGCCCTTCCTTCCTTCCATGTTTAATGTGTTCAAATTGTAATATACCTAAATGCTTTGTTCAGATATTTTTAAGTATATGCATATGCCCATTAAAAAAAAAAAAAAAAATTGTACATTTTATGTATGTATATATGATATATACATTGTCCTAACGTATACTACATAAAATTTATTTTTAAATATTCAATCATGTTGAATTTTTACAAATAATGTGAACTACTGCCATTTATTTTTTTGTCAATCTTCACCTTCCCAATCAAAATAGAAAGTCTGAGCCTATGATTACTATTATAGATAATTGATTATTTTTATGATTTAACTCACCACAAATTACTTTTCTTTAGCAATCTGTTCCTCCTGTCATGGCATTCCATTTAGGATCTCTTGGATTCTTGACCCCGTTCCAGTTCGATAACTTTGAAGAACAGGTCACAAATGTCTTGGAAGGTATGTATACTCATCGTTCAATATTTTAATTATAATAAATACTTATTATATATTTTTTTTATTTTTTTTTTATATTACCCCTTACCTCATCATTTATGGCATAGTGGGATAGTTGAGATTCATTCCGTGGGTCCGCCACGAAAAAAAATTTTAACCTGCAAAATTTTTTTTTTTTAAACTTTAATGTATTAATCTTTTTTATTAATAAATTATTTTTATTTCTTTGCTATTTTTTCATTCTCATCCTTAAATTATTGAATTAATTTTCTTAGGTCATGCAGCTCTGACCCTTCGTAGCCGGCTGAGGTGTATTATAGTAAGAAAAAATGAAGAAACTTCTCATAAACCTCCGACAAATTTATTAGTTTTAAATGAAGTTGTTGTCGACCGAGGTCCTTCCCCCTACCTGTCAAACATTGACCTCTTCCTGGACGGCAAACACATCACTTCAGTTCAAGGAGACGGTGCGTATATTAAACATCAAATTTATTATATTTGTTTCTATCAGTTTAATTATTCACCAAGTATATTTATAGTTAGATTAGTGTCGATAAAATCACAAGAAAGAAGACTCAGCAAGTCTGCCAGGAAATTTCAAAATGTGAATTGATGAAAACCCCTATCTGGTTGAATTGATGGAAACTATTATCTGGGAGTATGCAATTGAAAAGTGGAATCAGCTGATCTATTACTTGACCACCGTTCAATCATGCTTGGAAGCCAAGTGGGTTCTCGCAATTCCTCACAGGGGATGGAGGTTTTCGAGCCAAAATTAGGAACTGCTGCACCTCCTTCGCGTCGTTAAGGGCCAAATTGCTGAGGGAGACCAGTCTCTGTGTCCTCACAGAGAACGATTTCCCTCAGCTAGTTACAGAAGAAAATTACCCATATTGCAAAGAACATGTGAAATGCTGGAAAAAAGCAACAGGCCTTGCACAGTATTTTTGCCACAGAAAAATAACTATCATTTCCGGCCTTCAACCTAACCTTAATCTCCTCTTCAATTTTGTTTTTTTCTAGTTATCGTAGACCCTAGATACCTAAACTTCTCTGTTTGTTCAAACATTCAAATAAAAGATAGATAAATAACTATTAAATTCGAGAGACTTGATAAAAGTTGAAGAATTGAAAGTTACTAATAATATGCCTTTCTAATATGTTGTAATGAAGTTATTTCTCACTAGGAATTAGAAAGTAGATTGCAGTCCGTGCTAATGGAATCAGTTCGTTAAAAAGAAGGTTCTACGAGAAATGGAGTTCTTTGTATCCGTGTTAGTGATAAGGAGGATTTACTCTATTACTGAATCACAGAAAATGATAATATAGATTCTTTTATTAATTTATTTTTATTTTGTTTTTAGGACTCATAGTATCGACTCCGACGGGCAGTACAGCATACGCCGTGGCCGCAGGCGCGTCGATGATCCACCCAAGTGTTCCAGCTATTATGGTTACTCCAATCTGTCCGCATTCCCTCTCCTTCAGGCCGATCGTAGTGCCTGCTGGTGTCGAATTGAAGGTATAATTATTTTTTATTTGTTTGATTTGCTTGATCATTTATAAATCCTTATAAAGATTACTTTTTCAATAACTGACTGATACATATATTTTCTGAAAGATTCATACAGTTAAAATTATCGTATCATTTTATAATACATTATAAAATGGTTCTATATTTTTTATTTGTGTTTTTTTTTAAACATGTTTGAACACCTTTTATAAGAGACTAGGCCTACTGAATCGATTATTTGTTTCTGTTTTTAATTAAAATCTACTTGGTTAGTATGCACAATCACATATCATTTAGTATACAAAATTTGCCATTTTTTTTTTTAAATTGATGTCTGGTAGTTCTGCAGTTACCTGTTTAATCCTATTCAGCACCACTCTAGGGTTTCTTTTTCATCTTTAGAACAGAATAAAGAACAGTAGAAATTTTCTTATAACAAGCTATTTAACATATAGTCGTTTAGGTACCAGAAGAATCCATTTTGATCAGACTGCTACATCATTTGCCTGAGTTTATTATTATGAAACTTGTATATCTATATAAAAAAAAAAGAAATCTCTTTTATAGAATTATTTTACATATCTGTACTATTTTGAAGAAAGTAATCCTCTATCAGTGAATTGCTGAATTTGTAAATACCTTCAGATGGTTAAAATGAAAACTAGGTGTGATTAAAATGCTAGTTCATCATTCTCAAAAACCGGATATCAAACTGCTCAAATAATAACTATTTAACACGCAGATGTTTAGACGCTAGAAAAACTTGTTTTGAGTGAATATATCTATACTGACTCTCATTAAGTTATGTCAAAATTCTTGTTACTTACTGATCAAAAAGGAATATTTGGATTTTTTTATAGGGCACTAAACTTATAAAATTGATGTTGGTAGGCATTGTCTCTTTCTATAAAAGGTATAGTAACAAAGAAAATTATTATGTATATAACTAAATAAAGAAAAACTCTATTAAAAATAATATGAATCCTCATTTTTAGAAAAGTTATTTTTACTAATATATATAGTTGAAGCTATTTACTCATTTTTCTTTATACATAAATGTTTTTTAATGTAGTATCAGACTTAATGATATGAAATTAAGAGTTATAGATTAATTTTTTTTTAATAAGAAATAACTAAAAATACTATTTGCAATTATCACTGTCAAATTTTTCGTATCAATAAATTAAAAACAAGACATTTTGATTTAAAGCATATCAGTCGCATATGTGTGTTAACCTGCCTGATAGTTTTAAAATTAAAAGTGAATTTTAAATTAATGTTTTCTATTTACAAAAAATTAATATAAAGGAAAACAAAATGAAGAGCGTATGATCGTTTAGTGGAAGGGTGCCCGGGTGTTGTTTCAGATCTGTGTGTCTCCTGATAGTCGGAACACTTCATGGGTTTCTTTTGATGGGAGAAACCGACAGGAGTTATTCCACGGAGATAGGTACGTTCAAATAGCAAACATCAAACACGTTACACAAACTTTTTTTGTTAAATGTATTAATGTAAGTTTATTTTGTTTGGTATATTGAAACAGTTGGTTGTTCTTGTGATTGAAGTATTTTAGTTCTTTTTTGGTTATTTTTTTTTCATATCGTTTTTAGGCTTTGTCGTTTGTTGTTGGTTATCCTGTTACAGTTTTATATCAGGGAAAATCGGTTGAAATGTTGCTGTAAGAATATTGGTGTTTTTATTTTAGATTGTTGGCTTGTTTTGATAGATAGTAGTGAGTATGGTAGAATAATCATAGAATTGTGTAATGTTATCATGTTTTTATTATTATTACAAACATTTTTTCTTAACAAAGGATTTGTGTATCTTTGATATATGATAAATTTCTGAAAGCTCAATAATCTTCTAACTTCAATTTTTATTCCATGTACTAATTTTCAGTTTTTCAGTCTGTTCATTTTCCAGAAACTTCTTACTTTTATCTCCGTCTTTTCCAATCTCTTCACTTCAGATTTTGTGCATATTAGATTAATTTTCTCCATTTATTGAATTATATTTATCATAAATTTAATTATTAATGTCCACAGGTTCACAGGAATAAGTTTGTTTTAATTTTATAAAATACCCTAGGAACTATATTCCTAATACGTTGTTTGAGAACAATTTTTCCATTATGGAACATTTAATTTGATAATGCTACATTATCCACTATATCTTGTACATCATTGTATGTTTTTTCACCTATAGTTAACATGAATATATAAGAATATAAATGGAAAATTCCAAACCATGAAATATTGAATCTCCAATATACAGGTGAACAGTTAACCCATCGACGTTTCGCCAATTTATGTATCATCAGGATGGAAAGAAAAAAAAAATTACATTTACTTGAAACTGTACTTCACACCAAACACTTACTGAAGGAAATGAGATGTAATATAAACACAGTAGATGAGAGCTATATTTAAACAGCTGATCAGAAGGGAAGAGAAAAAAAAATGTATTAAATTCAATAAATATGTTATATATAACTTAAGATACTTTCTTTTTTAGTTATTAATTTGTTATTCCTATTAATTTGTTATTTATTATTTATTGTATTTAATTAATTTAACTTTTTTTGTAGTTTTTTTGGTATGCCTATTTTTTGGTCTTCCCTTCTGATCAGCTGTTTAGATATAACCTTCTGCTATGTTTATAGAACATCCTGTTTTCTTAATCATGTTTTGAATGGCTTATTTGTGTGGACAGTCCCTAGTAAATGTATTTTTTTGAGTAAATGTATTTTTTTTTTTTTTTTATTCTTTTTGTCTTGCATGAGTCGTAGATCCAGGATTTAATTTTTGGGAAACTTTTTTTTTTTTAAGTAAAAACTTCTTTACTTCGGCGCGTTTTGCACTTTTTTGTGGAGAGTTAATTAGATTGATCTGTAAGATTTCCGAAGTTTTAGCGCCCGGGTAAAGTCGGCTAGAGTCAACTAATTGAAATGTTTTCACATGTGGATTAAAATATCTCAGAAACTAAAAATAGGGCTTACATACTGTAAGCGGAGAAATTGTTCAACATTTCATCTTCTCTATAATAGGCTATAATTCAAAATTGTATCTTGTTTTGATTACGATAACATATTGCGATCAAGTTATTATTTAGCTTGGATCTCCTAAAAAAACTAATTTGGACCAAAGAAGAAAAAATTATTTTTCATTTTGGGGAACTTCAGCTCGAAAGCCTTTTATGATCTTATTATTTTCTTATTATTTTTTATTTCCATTTTACATTGGCTACGTTTCAGTTCAGCTGGCATGCCATCTGTTAGACAAACTCACAATTAATTTCATACACTACTTCATTTAACATGCTATCATGGTGATATTAGTCATCTTTAAATCAACATTTTTATAAATTACTGACTCCTTTTTATCAAATTATTAACATCCGGCTGAAATTTCGCAAATAGCTTCATCTCATCGTAACCTACAACTATTTTATTTACGAAAACATTGGATTGGGGCGTTTCCAATCTGGAGTGTCAGGCAGATGTTAATAATTGGATAAAAAGGGATAAGAGGTTTGTAACACGGACTATGTGTAATAAAATTAAAGTAATTCTAGATACAAAGAAATTTGAAAAAGACAAAGTCAAAGAGAAAAAAAAAAATTAGCTTATGATTATTATGATTTAAAAAAGGAGAAAAAAAATCCAGTATGAGATTGGAAAGGACAGATATTTAAAGTTAAACATTTCAGTATGAGAAGTCTGTCTGAAATGTTGAAAATTAGTTGGTGGAATAAAGAATGTGTTGAAGTTTGGAGGTTATTATGCTGCTAGAAATTCATTGAACATATATTTTTTTAATTTTTAGTATTATTTTCTCATAGTATATTGAAATTTTTACTTTATATCTCATTAACATGGAATGAAAATGATCAATGACCAATAGTTTGAAATTTAATTGTGCAAGAGAAATGATGGTAAGTATATCTCAATTCTTAAAATAGCCCATCGTTAGGTATTGAGACTCAACGAATAGAGATAAGATATTCATCCCTTTAACAATTAATATATATCTTACCATGATTTTTTATTGCGATTTAATCATATTTCAGGGTTTTGGACATTGTTCTTTTTTGTTTCAAAGAAGTGCATCTGTAATTTTTAAAAAGTCGAGAAAAAGCCAATTTTTGAAACATAGCTTCGATTTAAATCAATTCTAATGATTCATTTTTATGAATAAATTTGTATATTCTTAAATAAAATTATTAGAAACAGTTTGAATTAAACCTATGAAACAAAAATTCAGTTTTTCTTCACTCTGTGGAAATGACAGATATCCGTCTTTAATAGAAGCCAATCATAAATTTTATAAATTTCATGAAAACATTTTAAGAAAGTACAAAAATCTTAATTTTGTATCATTTTAATATCTGATTGTTCATTAAGATGTTCTTTAAAATACATCCTGCCAATGAATGGTACATTACATGTTTACATGTTACTGACCAAATTAATTAATTATACTTTTCAGTAACACCGGCAAATTATTATGCCTTGTTACTGAATCGCAACTGAATAGTAAAAACATAACTCTGTGCCAATTGTTGGGGTAACGGAAACCACTGAGCATACTTTACTTAGTCTCGACTATCTATGTGACACTGAGGGCCAAGCTACTGAGGGAGATAGTGTTCTACGTTCTGATGAAAAGAGATTTCTCTCAGTTGATGACCAAGGATAAATATCAAGATCTTTATATTACTATTGGAAGGAAGTGTTTCTTCCAATGCACTTCTCTCTGGAAAAGAAAAAATGGATTAAGACCTATATCAGGGAACCTGCCAGAAATAGGAAAGATTGAAGAGAACAATGACCGATTAAAGAATTAAAGAACTGTAAATTAATTTAAATTCAGCAGTCAGTCGCTACAGAAGCATGCATGACATCCCACTGCTACTAATAACTGCGTTGCCTAAAAGACAGGACAGAGTAATGAATAAGTTAATTTAATCACTTGTGAATCCTTTCCCACAAAACATTTGATAGACTTTGTTAAAAATATTGTGTTTCCTGATTTATATATCTTTCATACTAAAATATGGTTTAAGTTTGCTTTAAAACTATATGTTCCTGAATGATTAAGAAATAATTCTATTTATTTTAAGTGTCTACGTTAAATTCTTGCCCAATCTTTTTGAAATTTTCTGATTACTCAAACAACTTTTGGGTTTTTCAAGTCTCCTTGATAAACTGATAATCTAGGTATCTTTGAATACTGATATTTGATTAATGATATTTTATTTTTCTTGTACATCAGACTGCTAATTGTCTTCATTTATCTATCAATAATAATCTTTTCTTCTGTCATCCTTGTGTCAAACTGCTGTCGTATATTAAAATTGGAAATTCTAAATTAAAGCATGATTATAACCCTTTGATCGTTTCCATAATTTGCATGTTTATAACGTAATTTAACATTATTATACCGTTGGTAACTTTTAAACTATTAACTTTGTATCAATAAATTGATAAAAAAGGCAACATTTATATGTAATTTTGTTAGTATTATTGACTTCCAAATAGCATAGTAGGTATTCACAGGCAGGTTATTCTTATTACAAAAGTTTACTTCTTTTTCGTACAGAACTACTTTTACACATTACTCTTCGCAAATACTGTATAGTGTGCATGTCCTTTAATGTGTAAAGCATGGCAATGTCTTGATTTGTTCGTCATTGTATTATATTTCTATTATAAATACCCTTTTGCTTGGCTGTAAAAAAAAAAGAAAATATTTTAGGTAGATATTACCTGTTATTTATTGTTACTGAATCTGTAGAAAGACGGCTGCCGATTTAAAAAAGTGAGCTGATGAAATCACAAAATTTATTTTTTTTGGCGCCCGAGTATTTTCAGCTATTCTGTTTTGCATTTTCCTGCAGTATCATGTAGACTTATGTTAATAAATTATAAAATAATATAAGAATGTTCCTTATCTAAATGAATTCAATACTTAAATCATAATAAAGCTTTCTCGTTAATGAACTATTGAACTACTTACTCGATTATCAATCGATAGTTTTTAATACATTTTTCCTCCTTTATTAAAGAGTACAAGATAAATCAATGCAATCAAATTGGCTGAATGGAGTCCTTTTTCATTGAGTTTCATTAAAGTATTCCTTTTTGATGGAATATTCTAATGGAGGGGGAGATGTTCCCCCAGTCTCTTTCTTAACTCAGCCACCCGTTACAGTCTGGAGTACTGATCCATTTTCATCTACTTCTTCACGCTCAACTGAAAACTTCATGAATGGCTTCATTTTATCATAATCTAGAACTTTTTTTATTTACGAAAATTACAACCTTGGGACTGATAAACTTTATCAATTTAATGAAATACTAAAAATTCATGAATGATTTTGACTTAAATCGAAATATAATTTCATTACAAAACCGAGAAAAAAGGCGATCTATGAAAATATTGAGTCGTT